GCACGGGATACCCCCCCTACCCCCCGCATAGAAAAGGGTTTTCCCCTCTCCGTTACTGAAACCACAAGGTCGGCGGACAATCCAAACATTACTATCCTAAAACACAAAAACCTTCAAAACCAAAACTCTAAAGGCCCAAAGCCCAGGTCAGTGCACCAGAAGACCAGTATGTCTGGCTGGTTTTGGCTTTAGGCTTTAGGGTTTAGGCTTTGGGAGGTCACCCTCTTAGAGATGTTTAAGGTCAGAGATTTTTCGGTCCAGTCAGACGTTCTGAGGTGACAGTCGCCAACTACAGCAACATCAAGGTGTGGAGTGTGGAGGGACTTGAAGGTCTCGGGTTAGGCTTTAGCTTTAATGGTTTCAGGTTTAGGGTTTAGGGTGGGGGCAGGACATAGAACGGGCTAGAAGTAGAAAAATGGAAGAAGGTTGGTGCCCAACTATAGCCTGCATCCAAGCTATGGGCAGTTTGTGCCATGGCTCCATGGGCCCTAAACCCTAAACCCTTTGGAGTTAAGAGTCATGGCAGGACCTGGTGCCCTGCTGTGGTACAAGGGGCAACTGCTTTGAATTCGACAAGGAGACAGATGATGGCTGCACTTTGACAGCAGTGAAGCTTCTATACTTGCTTGTAGCCTTCGTTCAGTTGAAATGCGGTTTAGGGTTTAGAGCCCTTTAGGGCTGAGGGTCTGGGGCTTCGGGTTTGGGATGTAAGTAGCCACAAGTTCTTTTGATTTGTCATCCCTCTATCCTCAACCCCAAACCCTCAGACCTAAATCGGGTTGTCCGTACCTGATCCAGAAGCATTGGACTCTATGGGTTACCTGAGACTGGAAACAAGGGCCAAGGGTTCAAAGCTTAGGACCTTAGGGGTTTTAGGCTTAGGATGACTAAGGATGATATATTAGACCTATATAATCCCTATAGATAGTCCCTAAAAAATCCCCAGAGACCCATGGAACCTGAAAAGGGTGGTTTAGGGTAGCTTGTGGCTTTTTCGTCGCGAATGTTGAGGGTTTGCGATGCCTCCCCAAATAAGGCACGCCGGGCAGGCATATGGGTGGTTGTCAAAATTATGGTCCCTTTTTGGATCCCTGGGTTTAGGGTTTGGGGTTTAGGGTTTAGGGTATTATAATACGGCACCTGATACTTAGGGTACCCAAAAAGGGACCATAATTTTGGCAACTACTCATATGCAGCACTTTAGGAGTTTGGGCTTGGGTAAACGTGAGCCCCTGGGTACAGGACTTGATTCTATCAGGCTACATTGCGCTGTTGATGAGGGCCGAAAGCGTTTCTTTAAGGGGCACTACAGGCATTTAGCCCGAGTCACGCCAGCCAGAATGGCTCTAGGGTTTATAGGCGTGTATAGGGCTTGGGGTTTAGCGGCTGGTTGTGTCCATCAAGTCTCTAGAGTGTTCTCGCAGCAGCAATATACTGTTCTCATTGGTATGTGGGCTAGTGATTCATGATCCCAGACCATTTAGATGTGTAGCAAGGAGTTGCGTTCGCACTCCAGCTTGCTTCTATTCTGTGGTCACGTGAGATCTAGGGGTTACAACCTCGAACCAAAAAGTATCTCAGAGCGCTGAGCCCCCCAAACCCTAAACCCAAAACCCTAAACCATATAGACCCTAAACCCTAAAAACTCTGAAGCTCCAGGCCCTCCAGGCAAGCATGCGGAGTCTTGTGACTTCTTCGTGCAATTCAGCTACTGCAGGTAGTTTTGGTCTCTGAGTTGCAGCTGTAGGGGCTGTAGGGTCTGGGGTTACTTCTAACCCCTAAGCCCCAAACCCCAAGCCCTAAACACCCCAACCCTAAACCCTAAACCGCAAGCCCTAAACCCTAAGCCCCAAACCCAGGGCTTCTAGAGGGTCTGGGGTCTTGGGTCGCTTGGAGTTTCGGGGCTGCGAATTTGGGCTGTCCAGGTTTCCCCAAACGAAGCTCGCAGGTGTCTGTGGTGTAGAAGATAGGTTGGGTACTGCCCCCCCGCAGTAACAGTCTTTTTTTAGGGGTCCCATTGAGGGCTATATATAACCATAATATAGTAATTATCCAACTGTTAGTATCCAACCTAAACCCTAAACCCTGAACCCTAAACCCCAAAACCCCTAACACCCAAAATATAGGGTTTAGGGTTCAAGGTTTAGGGTTTAGGCTCCTCAAAGGTGACTGTTACAAGCGCCGCCACGGAAAGGCCACGTGGCGCTGTGGCGTACATGCTCACAAGGACCCTAAGGGTCCAATCACCTACATAGGACCCAATTTGGACCCAAAATGCTTCCTGAACCCTAAACCCTAAACTCTAAACCCTAAACCCTAATCCTTAAACCCTAAAACCCTGGTTACCTTCTATTTAGGCTTATTTAGGCAAACTACCAGATAGTATACTTGCTACTGAAGCCTAAACCCAATACCCTACGGGTTTATTACCATTACTTA